CAAATTGGCCAAAGTAACACCTGTATTTAAAAAAGGTGTCACTACAAATCCTTCGAACTATAGACCAATTTCAGTTTTATCTGTATTTTCTAAATTGTTAGAAAAGCTCATGCACGCCAAACTCACTGGTTTTTTAGAACGTTTTGAAATTATTTTAACTTATCAATTTGGATTTCAGAAATTCAACTCTACCTACATGGCCATTTTATATTTCATTGAACAAATTCGAAAATCAACTGATTTGGGGAAAACGAGCATTGGCATAACATTAGATTTTTCCAAGGCCTTTGACACAATTAATCATGACATTTTGATACAAAAACTTGAATATTATGGCATCAGAGGAATAGCTAAGTCCTGGTTTGAAAGTTATTTAAAAGACCGCAAACAATATGTCACCATTAACAATTATGAATCTAAACAATCATCTCTAAATTGTGGTGTTCCACAGGGCTCGGTACTTGGACCACTATTATTTATTCTTTACATAAATGATCTGCCTTTTGTTGCCCCTAATCTAAAATTTATTATGTTTGCTGATGACACCAATCTTCTTGATAGTGATTATGATTTAAATGAACTTATGACTAGAACTAATGCAAACTTGAATTCAATAGATGACTGGATAAAAGCAAACAAACTTTCACTTAATATTGGCAAAACCAATGCTATTCTATTTGGACCCCAAAAAATCAAACAAATCTGAATCTTAAAATACGCAATGAGAACATAAATTTCCGGGAAAAAATTGACTTTCTTGGAATTATTATTGATAAAAACTTGAAATTTAAAGAGCACATAAAATCTGTTGAAACAAAGATTTCTCGCGTCATTGGTTCTCTTTATCACATTAAACATCTACTTCAAATAGACAGTTTCAAAACAATTTACTACTCATTGATACACTCTCAATTAAATTATTGCAACATAATCTGGGGTAACACATTTAAATCATTTTATGATCGTCTACATAAACTGCAGAAACAATTCTTAAGGCTAGCTTTAAATAAGGATAGACTTTCTCACTCCGCTCCCCTATTTAAAGATCTTAGAATATTAAATATTTTTGATGTCAACAGATATTGTACTGGTCAGTTCATGTACAAAATCTTTAATAAGCACCCCAGTCTTCCAAAAAATCTATTTCAAGACTTGTTTGATATCAACATTAATATTCATCATCATTACACAAGACAATTGCATTATTTTCATATCCCTAAATGCTCTAAACTTTCCCTTCGCTATCTGGGTCCTAATCTTTGGAATGCTCTACCACATGATATTAAAAAATGCTCCACTCTAAATATTTTCAAATCTTCATATAAAAAACTACTCATCTATCGATAATGTATAATACCAATATCATACTATACTGTTGATTTTATTCTGGTACCCGATTTTTGTAACATTTTTACATTGTACATCCTTAGATTAATTGTTAATACCATTTTTATATACCTACATGTAACATAATATAAGTGTTTTCTTTTATATGTAGTCTAGTTGTCATTTTAATGATTTCTGTTAAACCGCAACATATACCCACTAGGGTGTCTAGCGGCTTGTTTTTTTATAGTGTATATTATATAAGAATTATGAAATAAATAATTGAATTGAATTGAATGTGTATTTTTTTATAAATTATTTCTGTTACCATAGCTACCAAGTGTAAAACATTAATGAAACTTGTCATATTGGTAGTGCATTATAAGTATATGATTACCTGTAAATATCAAGATGAATGGCTGTATATTCTAGGAATTATAGATGGCTTTCATTGTACCCCGCTTAAAATCATACCAATGGGGTATAAATCTGTTTACCATAGTAACCAGTAATCCAACACTGATGAAATTTTCCATGATAGTCAAACATAATGATGTGAATACTATCTGTTAAATTCACGACAAATGGTTACTTATTTTCTTCAAAAAGTTGAACACAAATAAAGAATACTTTGGAAAAGTGCCACATCCCCTTTCTAAATTTACTTGCATTGCCATGTAATCATCAGCAGTAGATCCCACTGTGTGAATTAGATAAAACAGCAGTTGATTTAATATTATCAAATATACTTTGAATAAGTTTTCTAAAATGGTTTCATGGTGATTCCTTCCAATTTCATGAAAATAATATGTGTTTTGTCTCATGGGGTATCTTACATTTTGACGAAAATGTGTGCTTTTTAACATATGATCTCCATTTCCATAGCAACCAGTTGATCAACTTTAATGAAACTTGTCATAATGGTAGGACATAATAAGTACATGATTACCTGGAAAAATCAAGATGATTGGCTCTATATTCTAGGAATGATATATGGTTTTCCAAGTACCCCTCTTAAAATTACACCAGGGGGGTATAAATTTGAATATTTCCAAAACGCTGAAAAACTAGACACCAATGATTTCAGAATCAATGTATAATAATAAACCACAAATAACCTATATGAAGAGAAATTTGCTACTTTTCAAAACCACTTTTACACCACGCTCATCCAGTACAAGTGATATGTGGTTAGGTGGATGTGCATCTTAGAAAGAATAAACGTTAAAGAATTAAAAGAACTCTAGTTTATCTTCGTCATTTATGAAATGAAAAACAATTGATCTTTTAGTGCTAACACCATTACTAATTATGATTTAATTTAGATTCTGTAATCATAGGCCAAAATGCCCGTATACGTCACTTCCGCTGAAAATGTGTTTTAGAAAATGAATGTATTCCAAACACAGTTGTGATAATGAAGAGTCAGTAAACTGGTATGTGGGGACAGTGTCATCTTTTTGCAATGCTAACATGCGATTTCTGTCTTTAAGGTGGAAGAAATTTTCGCGAAATCGTGTATTTGAAAAATGAACTCAGGAATTCAGTAACAATTGAATGTTATAAAGAGTGAATAATAGGGACGGAAATAATGTCAAGATACATATCTTATCATATGTATTATAGACACATAATCCCCCCTCTGTTCACCCCCTCCGTACAATTTTGAGTATTTTCGAATATTTTTTATATAACGCATTCAATGCAGATTGTGCTATACGAAAAAAGCGGTGCGGATATCATGCGCGTAAGGTGCGGATATTAGCGGTAATTTTTGATCGAGATGACGTATCAATACAAATTATATTTGCATTTTGAAAGTTGAAAGGTTTCTGTGTGATTTATACAAAATGGGAAACATTAAACAAAAATGTGCTCCCTCTAAACAAACGGTGCGGATATCCGCGGGTATCCAAAAAGTGACGATATCCGCACCGCTTGTTTAGAGGAAGCACGTATCCGATTAATGTTTTCAATTTTTTTAAAACTCACACAGATTTTCATGACTTTCAAAATGCAAAAATAATTTATTTACTTTAATCGATCGGTCATCTCGATCACCAATACTAAATGAAGGCTGTAAACTGTGTAATAAAGCAGCAATTTCAGATTCTTTGCAATGGAGCAAGGATGAATGCCAAGTGCGCGTTTGAAGAATGGAGAATACAACTTTAGACAAAATTTCTCTTTTATTAGGTATCCTCTACAAATGGATGACTATAATTGAGTACCAAACATGCCTTGGTTAAAATAAATCTTCCAAAGGAGCACGTAGGTTATCGCAAACAATTTCAAACGATTCTAACTTGAATTATGAATATTTTTTGATCATGAACATGGGTGTATCTTTTAGATCCATTCATTATATGCAAGAAAAGTATATATATTATATAATGATGATTTAGTTAATCAGACCTAAGTGATATTGAAGGGGCAATGGACCAATCAACATACTTTTTCAAAAATGTTGACCTAATTTTCACCAAAAATGCAGCCTATTATTATATTATTGAATGCATAATTAGAATGTGCTTTGAGACATGTTCGATTTCCTAAAAGGAAAATTTGATTGCTACAGGGACTTCAAAGATATTCAATTTGGATGACCAAAATGAACTGAAACCAATGGATAGCATGAGATTTTTCAATGGAGAAATAACATGGGGAACACTTATCTTAATGCAATTAAGTTTTTCTTTCAAGAACTATTTGATACATCAAAATAAAGAATAGTAATGCATTAAACATTGTAAAAAATGATTGCATTTTTGGTGAAAATGGGGTCAACATCTTCAAAATGGGGTCAAAAAGTGTGTTGATGGGTTAATTGCTACTTAAATATCTCCGAGTTTGTTTGAATTTATTATTACTGTGCATAATTTTCTTTGAGATAATGAATTGATCTAAAAGATAAACTTGTCTTCATTGTCAGAAAATAGTCATAATCCAAGATATAACCTTCTGAAATTGTTTGCGATAACCCACGTGCTCCTTTGTTGAGTTTTCTTGCCGAGATCGCCTAATCTCCCCCCCCCTCCATCCATTTTGTACGATCACCGGGCGTGACTTACACCTTTTTAAAATTCACCACTTCATGTCTCTGGCTGAAATAATGTTCATCCAGGCGGTTTCTTTGTAGATAATAAAAATATATGTTAGTCTTGATGAAATATCCAAACTTAAATCATCGTTTGACACTGGTCGATGATCGTTGAATGCCCCCCCCCCCCTGCACTAATTGTTGCACCTTAAGGGAATCATGTCATAAGTGTACGCTTTAGATCTCCAGTATCGTTACCTGCGTTTTGTACTAATAAGAACATGCAGGCTACATTTTGCAATAAACGAAAGTGGCAAGCTCACTTCCTTATAATTCGATATCGTTGTTCGGTTGCGTCGAGCAAAGCAAAGAAAGGCTAAGATTTTGACGCAAAGTAGCAAATTCCCGGGGAATGTTTAGCAGATTGTATTGGACTGGTGTAATTTCAAAAATGCCGGGCAAATTACGACAATTATTTGATGCAGTAAATCAAGAGTTGTAAATCGTTCAGTTAATAAGTATACATAAATAAAGCTGTCATATGTCATTTTTACACAAATTGTGTCTGATCGATGTAATATAATGAAATCATGAAACGAAAGGAATGGGGACAAATGTACTATCGGAAATTGGTCGTCGACATAGCGACAGGAAAGCCATTTTTATTATTTCGATATAGAAATTGAACTCTTTATTCATGTTTTCTTACGGATGAAGCCTTTTTAACGGATTCAATGGCCGATGTTTAGTTAAAGGGTGAGTTAATCTCTTTTGAACAATACTCATTGGGCCTAGAGCTGTGTTGGAATTGTTTTATATCACTCGATATTCAATTTATTTTGGAGTATTTTTCAACCGTCCAAAATCAAGTGCCACCATTGAATAATAATAAATAATCATTTCAAATAAACAATCTGTTCGCTCTTATAAGATGGTTTACTTTACAAAGTGCTAGATATTTTCGTGGACATGGGGAATCCATATTATACTTACCTGTGTATTTCCACACATTTACTACAAACAATGTTAACCACAAAAGTTGCAACATTGTACCATGGGCTCTACCACCCCATGATTTTACATTGTAATAATGTAATGTTACAATGTAGCAAAATTGTTTTATCTTGCTACATACTGCACAGGAAGATGTATCAAGTTATTTTTGGTCCTCTATGGGGTTCTTTAGGGTCCTCACACTCAGAACATTATCATACCTCAACTTAAGAGGTATGATAAGGTACAGACCCCAACGTGAACCCCACAGAGGACCAAGAATAAATCAGCTTGAGATAAACCTGTATACAGCAGTACAAAGTTCAAGAGAAGGAACTGAGTTCATAGTACACAAGTGGACGACAGTTTTTCAACCATTGCATTATTTCAATACAATTTGCAATGTTTCAAAGGATCTACATGTATATTGACCTCAATTGATTAGTTCATACATGTACATCTATTAAATCCAATCCAGGTTATGATTAAGCCCTACCAATTATACTTTCAGGTGTAAGCTAGGTTCAGTAAATCCAAAGTCTCCAACATGAACAGGTATCGACATGTAGAATATATGGACCATCCGGTTCATCACAGCTATATCCAGGACCTTTACAGTAACCATCACCATGGTAACACTCATAGAAACTATACTGACAATGATATAGTCAACACAGATTGTATGGCATTTACATGGGTTGGCCCTGTACGTCCAAAACTTTATAGCGAGACATTAGATAAGTTATCTTGGAAAACAAAACAAAATTTAGAATTACTTAAAGGGAGGGTCACACGTATTGATCCTTGCTATGAGTATGGTATTGAACACTGGCACCCAGATCGAAGATCAAAAGCAGGTATGGTCTGGCTTGTATATGTACATTATGTTAAATAAATCCACTTGGTGACAACTCTGAAGTGTCGCCAGGCCCGTAGCCAGAATTTTCCAAGGGGGTTCACTTTTCCAAAAAATTCAGGCTAGGGGGGTTCACTTTGGCAAATTTGGCCAAAAATCACTCAAAAAATAGTCAGAATGGCGAAAAACTGCATGATTTTGAAAGAAATTTTGGCCCCCGAACCCCCCCCCCCCCACTGGCTACGGGCCTGGTCGCCTAGTAATAATGTGTATTGTATAGGTCATTTTCATAAGATTTCCTTCACATATCAGATTTAACATTCTTTTAATATCCCGTGAAACAACCTTCAAATTCTTCAAACTAAATAGACCATTGAAATGTCATAATATCGCCTTTCTCATGGTTTTTTATATTTCAAGCCTTCTGCAAACTGTCTGACTAGGGATGAATTTAGAAAAAGTGAAGTTTTGCCCTGACCTTTGCACACATGAATTATATTGAAGGACAACAATAGGACTTGTATTGGTCATTTAATACAAACTAAGATACAATGTGAACAAATGACAGTCATACCATTTAAAAACCGTAAATAAAATTGTATTGATTCGTTTTCCAGTTGAAGCACATAGATTGGCAGAAGAACATCAGGAGTCATTGGAAAGTTACCCTGGTAAATGGCCTAAATGGGAAGCAAACAAGGTGGTGTTTGCTAGTTCCAATGCCTTAGATGACTGTATAGGGGAGAGCAAACTAGAGATCCCTATAAGAGATGACCCAGAATATGTGGCTGATCAGAGCTTTAATTTCTGCCAAATGTGTACTTCAGCTGAGGATCATGAGAAACATAAGCAACATACCAGACATATGACCAGGGTAAGTAAACTGAGAAAGTTAAGAGCTTGATTGTTGGTTTTTATTATGTCATCTCACTGGCGGATCTGGGGGGGCCTGGGGGCCAAAAAAGGCCTTAAGGCTCCAAAAAGTGGGCCTTTTTGGTCAATACTGGGCCTTCTAAGGACTTTTTTTTTTCTTTGGCCTGAAATTTGCTCCCCCCCCCTTATTGGTTCCCAGATCCGCCCCTGCATCACAATAAGTGGCATGTTGTCATAGTCTCCCAACTTTTTTGTGGGTGTTCAGCGGTTGGCATCAGCATTCCTCATTTGTAACAAATGACAGGTGGTGCCATTTGAGAATCAATGATTTCAACAGTGTTCACTGCATATATTCTTTTCTTTGTTTTGTAGCTTAGTAAGTTTGGTGATAAACCAAATGTAAGAGTAGATTACATAGCTCCACCTCCTAGTCTAGGACGCATTAAGAAAAGAGAGCGAAGTCCAGAACCTGAGGAGAGGCTGTACAAACTTTTAGTCAAAACTGGTGACAAATCCAACATGGGAACAACTGCAAAGGTATTATCTAATAAAAAAATGTTGGTTTAGATGTAAATGTAGTGTAAAGCAAGTGCAGTGGTGCCATATTATTATGTTCTACACCTGGTATTCCATGTCTGTAACAAATAGCAGGTGGTGACATTTTGCATGTTATTGTCTTGTCATATTACATGCCATAGCAAAAGCTGTTCCAATTAACATGTAGGCATTGTAGACTATATGAAGTAAAATAACAATGTGTAATCAATCATACATGAACTTTATAATACATGTACTGTAGCTGTTGCAAAAATAACATGTAGACTGTATGAAGTAAAATATCAAGGGATTAATTTTTCTTCAAAGCTAGATTGTGATTTAAAAACAATAGCAGATGTTTTAGACTAATGTTATTTAAACGCTTTGACACCTCTGAGCGGTGTAGGCTCCATCCATGTATGCTGATATACAGTAAAACCTGTAAATTAAACACCTATGCAGCCCCAAAAAGTGTTCACTGTAGGTATGGGATAACTACAGCGAGAGGGAATTTTATACAGGAGTCAATGTAAAATGTGTCTTGAAGTGGTGTTCACTAAACACAGGTGCTTATTAGGGGGAGGTGATCAATGAAACAGGCTTCATGATATTTAAATTATTCTTCATAATCTACTGTGAAAATCATATTCAGTGAGAGAAACCTGTGTTACTGAACACCCTCTCTCTCTCTCTATTGAGCATGTGTGTCTAGTAAACACCCATTCCTCATCATATCCACTGTACACAGGTTTTACTGTATTCTGCTAATCTGTGAACTAAATTTGAAATGATCTATTTTAAGGTGCACATACAGATACAGGGTAGTCATGGTGAACTGAGGAAAAGGCAGTTAAGGAAAGGAGCTGGGTCATTACCATTTGCATTTCATGTGAAAACTTTAGAATCATTCTTCATAAAAGGGCCTATGATTGGAGAGCCTCAGCTCATGAGATTGAAGGTAGGATAATGCTAGATATATCAAGTAATTGTATTGTCTCAATAATATACCACTGTCCAGTTCATTAATCAATACATTGATATTCATATACATTTAAATGGGGCCCATATTAGTAACACCATTGATCTTTGCTCTTGCTTGTGATACACCTTGATTGAGTGATTTGAAAAAATATTTCGTTGTATTTCGTCATATGATGTAATGTTGCAAATGATGTTGAGAAGTATCAGTTTGAGTATCAGATTCCCATGTTTAACATTTTTTGCCACGTTTTATTTTACAAGAAACCTGAGGCAATAAATCATGAGTGATGCTGTAAAATCCATTCAGGACTTTTCAGAAAAATAACTGCCATACTGCTATGTATTAAAAGTAGCTCATGGCAAAATAGCTCAATTCAGTCATTTTCTGAAAGAATAAGCCTGTGTAGGGGCTAGTGGCAATCTGACATGTCTTGCATATACAATTTTGTTTTTGAACTATTATACCAATATTCCTCACTTTTGGATTCCTTTAAAGTTATCTCTAGTCTAATTCTCCCCAGCCCTTCTGATATTGTACATGGGATATGTATGATAATACGTTTCAGTTAGATGGGGTTCACAAGGCAGATGGCTGGTACCTAGAGTATATTGACTTCACAGATGTGGCTGCTAAGGTAACATGGCGATTTCCATGTAAGAACTGGCTATCTTTATATGAGTCTGACCATTCTTTAAGGCGGGACCTGGTGCCTGAACAACTAGATCATATTCAAAGGGGTAAGTCAAAGAGACAATCCTTAGGAAGCGAAATGCATATGTGTATGGCCAGATAGGCGAGGTTTATGTCCTAGGTTTTGGGCCGATATAAAGATGGCAGCAGCTGAGAATCCTATTACCATGCCATCTTTATTTAAAAATGACATCTATTGCCCTTAAACCCAATAGTTTATGCCCTCCAAAATTTGACTGATATTCATTCAGACATTTGTTTTTAAATTCAAATGTGAAAATGAACTTAAATTATTGAATTATATCCCATTTTGATTCAACTATTTAAAATTGCCTTGCCTGTATTTAGAACCTGCATGGCCATGCCTTTTACTTGAAAATATCAAAGAGAAATGATCAGGGCATTCTCTGCACATTGTATGAAATCTTAGTTATACATGCAGCTCTTCAAATTAATTCTTAACTTTCAGATATGTCTCCAATAATTCAATGCATCTCCAATAAAATTTCAAAATATGATGTTACACCAAATATCAAAATCCTTAAATGTTAATCTTAGGGGCACAAATACCTACCATGTTGCAAAAAATATCCAAAATGCTAAAATGTTGCATTAAAAAGAGCCTCCTAAGACACACAATGCAATAAGCTATGAAAATACACCAACTGATCAATATGACAAAACCATACAGGTCTAAATACTAATCCAATGTTGCACAAAACACAATCGAAGAATTAAAAGTTTATATAGCAGAATAGATTCATGATATTTCCAAGATTTTAGATATCTAAACTATTGATACGCCTCTGGTTTGTTGTGATCTTTTATTGTCTGTTTTGCAGAATTTGAAGTGTTTGTCGAAACTGGGAAAAAGTCAATGGCTGGTACGGACTCCAATGTATTTTTGACCATATTTGGGAAAAAAGGATCATCACCAAAGTTCGCTCTAAAGGATAGATCTAAAAACCTTTTCGAAAATGGACAAATTGATCGATTTGTAGTGAAAACAGAAAACTTGGGACAAATATTAAAGATAAGGTGAGGTTTCGTTACTTTATGACATTTTTATCTACTCTTCAATACAGGGTATCCATAAAAACTCTACAATTACACTGCAAGGTCTAAGTGTAAAGAGGCTTTATGGACATCCTGTATTTTATATCACATAGAAAGAAAAAATCAAATGATTATGTTTGGTTTGGAACCATAAAGAGTTATTGAAATAACATCTATTTAGAAAATGGGATTTTTAAATAGTCTTCCTAATATACATACAAATAAAACATTATGAGTTGATCTTCTAGGATTTCATTGGGTAATCAAAATGGTTTGACACATATCATGATTCCAGTGGCATTGATAATAGGTGTACCTAAAACATCTGAATGACAATTTACAAATATTTCATTCTGTTAAAACAAATACCATCACATATTCTGCCTATGGGGAATGTCACTTGTAAAAATGCCACTGAAAATTTATATATGCAGGATAGAACATGATAACAGTGGGTTTGGTCCTGGATGGTTCTTAGAAAAGGTGGTTCTACGTGCCATAGATGACCATAGCAAAGTGTACCACTTCCCCTGTCATGCATGGTTGGCCAAGGATGAGGGAACAGGGGAGACATATCGGGACATTCGACCAGCTTCTGCAACCTCTAAAGGTAGCTGTTTTCTCTATAAATGGAGGTCTATTTTGCTAATGTCTGCCCATCTGATATTATATTTAATATAATGCATGCGGATGCTAACCCAAACTGCTCATTTTATGTATTATTACGTAACATGGGAATACACACATTCTGTCTCAATCTTTAGATATAAATAACCAGAAATATTAAACTAATGATGTAGTCGAGATTAGTTTAAAATGTTCACATTGGAAAATATCAAGAAAACAAAATGTTCATCCAATTGTACATGTACATTGCAGTCCTGTAAAGAAATGCTTGTTGTATTCTAATGTCACAAAGGTCAGATGGATTCTGGTCTGAACCTTGTGTTCATCCCTTGTCTACATGGCTTGATGGGAAGAGCAAACACAGCAACGGACATCCCAATTTTTGATCTAGTCATTTCTATCTTTAGGTCCACTGGAATTTAAAAAATATGTACATGTACAGTATGTGGCATTTTTGAAAAATAAATTTGATTTCATTACAAAATGTTAATCAACGTTTTATTGTTTTCTTCCAGGAAAAAAGGAAAATAAAGGCCCCCAATGTGTGTATGAATTCATCATTGAGACAGGTAGCCCACTTCAGGCAGGAACAGATGCTAATGTCTTCATTCAACTCATAGGTGATAAAATGAAAACAAAGGAGCTGACATTGGACAACGATGATAATAATTTTGAGCGGAATTGTACAGATATATTTACTGTAAGTAATAAATATGGCTTCATATTTGCTTTCTAAAAGGAGTAATATAACAGATTGCATTTAATCTAATCTAATTTGATTTCTTCAAACTTGAGCAAGGGACTCCAAGTTCCATGCATCAGTTCAGTTTACATTCAATATACACATTAGGCTAAGTCTACCTTGGATTGACTGTTCCCTCACAAATCACACTCGACCAGCTTGACTGTGCCTCCAGTTACAATAGACCAACTTGACTTTTCCCTCATAAAGCACATTCAGCCAGGTTGACTGTTCCCTCACAAACCACATTCTACAACCAGATTGACTGTGCCTTCGGTCACATTTAACCAATTTGACTATTCCCTGACAAAGCACATTCAACCAGCTTGACTAATCTCTCATTGAAGGCACATTGAACCAACTTGACTGTTCCCTCACAAAGCACATTAAACTAGCTTCACTATATTCTCATTGAAGACACATTGAACCAGCTGACCATTGGTTGACAGCATTTATTTCAACCAAGCTTGAAATTTCTTGATGAAACATTAAGTACAGTGCTTCAGCATTTTGATTCTAAATTATTTTCCAGCTAAAAGCAACTGATGTTGGAGTTATTAAGAAGATGCGGATTGGGCATGATGACACTGGAATAGGAAGTGGCTGGTATCTGGAAAAGGTATTAGTAAATAAATAGAGATCTAGTGTCATGTAGACAAGCCTCAAGGTCACATTAATTTTAAAGGTCATTAGATTGAAAAGGAGGAGGGAAAACCCCAGAACTCAGAGATGACAACATAATTACCTCTCTAGCTTACCACCTACATTTGTCATAGAATTCGTTTCACCTAAATGATGTACATGTCTTATATATAAATGGGAGTAAAAAACATTACACCAAAATGTGATTTATTTCAGGTTACAATCCTAAAGCACCTGAAACAGAGAGATGTCTCTATTAGAAGGAAACAAGATAAACAAGATCAAAAGAATAAAGAAAAAGAAGATCAAATGAAGCTGTATGATGATAATTCTGAATCAGATGAAGAAAGTGGTGGAAAGACAAAAAGCAAAAATAAGAAAAGCAAACAGAAAAAGTCTGAAAGTGAACTCAGAGACAAAAAGAGTAAATCAAAAAAGAAATCCAAAAGTGAATCTGATCCTGATGATGATGTCAAAAGAACAAAGAAAGGAAAGGATAAATACGAACTTGATGACACTGTGTTCAAATCAAAGAATAAAAAGTCATTGAAATTTGCACTTGATGACTCGGATACTGATCCTGATGATAAAAAGTCGAAGATGAAACCTAAAACAAAAGATGAAAAATTGAGAATGAAAATGCTTGGCCTTAATATCTCAGATGATGAATCCGATAAAAAGAAAACAAGCAAAAAGTTAAAAAGTAAAAAGAAAAAATCAGATTCTGAAGATAGTGATGACTTCCAAACTGGATTGTTTTCAAATAAGAAAAGCAAGAAAGTGAAAATACGCGTAAATGATTCAACAGAAGAAGACAGTGACTCTCAAACAAATGTATTTGGTAATAATAACAAATCAATGCAGAAAAAGAAGATCAGGAAGAAGCCAATGAAAGATGACATTGATAACTTATTTGGGCGAAAGACGAAAAAATCCAATGACTCTGATTCGGATGATTCTAATAGTGATGAAGACAGTGATGAAGAAAAAAAATCTAAAAAGAGAAGTGGCAAGAAGAATAAAAAACGAAAAGACTCCACAAGTCAGAGTGAGAATGAAGATGATAGACAAACAAATAACAAAGTTGTTTATGACCAGTATGTGTTTGAGGTTAGTCGCTGGCTAGCCACAGATGAGGGAGATGGGGAGTTAATAGTTGAGATGAAACCCTCAAAGAAACTTTCTAATCTCACAAAATCATTACAGTGAACATCGTTTAGACCACTGCTCTATATATTACACCAGTAAAAGTGACACTAAGCCTATCCTGTTGATAGGAAAGAAATGTGATATAAAGTGCACAGTTCAGTATGGTGTACGAGTATACGGTACAATATTTTTTTAAGTTTTTATGTCACCATCACAATTACCCAAATGCGAGTAGGTAGTTACCAGTTTCACCACCAGGTGGCTGATTCGGGTCAATTAACATGGCAGGTATATAAGAAAGTTCCCTTAAACTTGAATATTATCAATTTAAGTGGCTCAATTTTCATATAACCCTTATGCGTCTGATACTTATACTAATGAAAATATGTCCAGTAAAGCAAAATATTATCTGTCCACTAAAAGAAAAGATATTTCATTTTTTGTGATTTTATAGCATGGGGTCTATGGGGAATCTCCCCGAGCTAGAAGTCACATTTTCAAAGAAAATTAATTTTTCAAAGTTGATAAACACTTTTTAAAACCACATTTCTAGATGTAATTTTACATGTAGATTTCAAATATGATATTACTTTGACTGAATTTTGAATTTTTAATGACGTAAATCAAGATTATTTCTACTCGCATCTGGGTTATTGGTGACATACTGTTAAAGACTCTAGCTATTTTGTGGACAGGTATCGCTTGTTGGTGTTCTGCGGTTTGTGCTTTGCTTTTGGCGCTTGGTATCCGGTGTTTGGTGTCAGTAATAAACGGCAGGTAGTGACATTTTGCATGTTAATGCTTGTTACAATTTGTCCTACATGTATTTCCAAATTAGATATTAATAAAGCAAAAAATGTTACATTACAATCTATGCCATTTAAAAGAACGTTATGTCATATTCTAGATTGATAACAGCATGGGTTTACATGTAGGGGAGCAATGGTGAATTATTTACATGCTTTTCACTTTAGTTGTTAGAAGAATGTGATTCACATTATGTGTTAGAAGAATGCGATTCACATTATGTGTTAGAAGAATATGATTCACATTATGTGTTACTTTCAGTCCAAATGGTATTAAATATCAAAATAAGTGCGTTTCTTTCTGGCCATTGAAATTACAGTATAGCCATACTATATTTTGCGACAAAACATGATAAATATAGGCCACATGATAAAGGGCTAGGAAAACTGATAAGGTAATTCATTGACCTTGGGTAAGATCCATTAATTATTTGCACAATACGGGATCATATATGTAAAATACCATAAAGTAGGGTACTGCAAAATATATGAACTCTTTTAATTTACAAAATGTATTTAGCATTCCTTTATATTGCTTCTGACTATCTGAGTTCGAAATCGACCTCGTGCCCTCTCTGTCTACGGAACTCAACATATGTCATTCTATCAATTGACCTGCCGGTGAAACGTTTTTCGTCCAGAAAAGTTGCCATTGAATCTCTCGGCGTTTTGTAGATTTTTCGATTCCAATAAGGGTCTTCGATTGCGAGTAGGCGACGGATTGCACCAGCAATCAGTTTCACATGCTCAAAGTCGTTTACTCCGATCTTTGGTAAGTGATCGGCGTCCATGAGAATAAGTTTACGCCCTGTGATGAAGTTATCGTAGAAACAATGACGGTAACGCGGAAAACCTATGGAGCATATATACTGTGCCACTTCATCTCTTGTCCATTTGTAACACTGGGGAACTTGTAGCTCCAATTGCGCCTCCTCCAATCTCTTCTCGTAGGCTCCTCGAGACATTCTTTAAACAAGAAAACATTACATCAAATTGGTTTTGACAGTAGTAGGCCTTTTGATTTTATCGTTTATTCCAACCGTAGGTCTATAGTTGTTTAGAAGTTTTTATCAACTGAGAAGTGAAGAAATGCTTAGCTAGCACGTAGCGTATCAGAATCATCATAGGAGTAGAGAAGCCAGGGGGTGCGATGGGTGAGACCGCACCCCCCCCCCCCCTAACCAATTAAAATAGAACCACTATAGATAGAAGAAAAGAGCTTTTGTTTGAAGTTTTGTAAAATTCTAAACAAATCTTAAAATCTTTTGCCTCGCTTATGCCTCGATCGCAACCCCCTGGCCGATTTTTGGGGCGATTGCACCCCCCCCCCCCCCGACTGAAAGCTGGCTACGCCCATGATCATGGTAGAATCGTACTTACCGTTTTAATTTTACAGACGTGAACAAATAAATTGTAAAAACTCATCAACCCTATTCACAGTAAACATGCCCTCCAAAGGTTTGTATTTACCGCCAATGCCGCTGGTACCTCGTTTTGAATTACGCGAGTCGCAGTCCGCGGCTGTGCCATCGTTTTGATTTTCCTCCGTTAGACTTGATTTGGGGACTTACCTTCAAATCAATGTTGTTCTTGTTTGATACTGCATTATTTTCTTTGCCATAGTAACCTAAAAATGTACATAGAAACGTCACAAAGGCCAAAACCTGGCACGTGGACAATACAACCTTTTACTCCAGTGCAATGTTCATTTTTATTTAGTTCATGAACAGAACCTGGTTCATGAAGCAGTTCAGACTGATTCGAATAAATGATAGGCCATTCAATGTGGTGAAATTCAGCATGAGTTGGACAGAATGTCGTACAGTTTGTCAAACGAGTGTAGCATTATTTCGATTCAAACATTTATACTAATGAGAAGATTGTTCAGAGAATTGGGGATTGAAGTTCAATTTGTTTAAAATATATGTACATTGTACTTGCAATGATTTATTTATGATTTGTGAATTTATTTGTTAGATTAACAATGCAGGTGATTTGAATACAAGTGTCAAAATAGATTGACAGTTGTGAAAAAAAAGAATTGAAGTTTAATTCATCTTTGAATAATGCCCCTCCTTCCCTACTGACATAAATTAGGATTTCTGAAAGCGAATTATTGTTTTTGTTTGGAAATAGCTGTCCTCTATCTAGATCTTTAACTAGGACCAGACTGCTTGTGCAAAATCCCAAACTAATACCTGCCAAATTGCTTTCAAGTAGGTCTAATCATGTGGGGACTCTACTTACACTAGCCTAATTGCAGCAGTTTTTGGGTATATATTATGCTATATTACAAAAAAATAATTTTATTAACGGTTATTAACTTCTCACTCATATTTATGAATAACATTGAATAATATATTCTGTTTATATACACTTTTGGTCAATGTATAATGATTTTGGTAGCCCATGCATAAATATTGCCTAATTATTGTCACTTTTATAGATATATTCCCTTAATTATATTGTTACTTTTGTACATTTTATATTTCCCATTACTTTAGCATGGCAAGGGTGTTACTAGACCCATTTTGGTTTATATCAATTCTCACCCATATTTATGAATAACATTGAACATATATTATGTTTAAGATATTACTTAAATTATTGTCATTTTATACTAGTATTTCCAATTACTTTGGCGAGGATTGTAATAGTCCCTTTTTAAATCAATTCTCACCAGGCCCGTAGCCAGGGGGGGTTCGCAGGGTTCGGGCGAACCCCCCCCCCCCTGGCCAAAGATTCTTTCAAAATCATGCCGTTTTTGACCATTTTGAGCACTTCTCTAGTGATTTTAGCCTAATTTGGGCCAAAATTGTCAAATGTGAACCCCCCTGGAAATTTTTGAAAATTGACCCCCCCCCCCTTGGCAAATCCTGGCTACGGGCCTGCTCATCCATATATGATAACATTGAATATGTATTATGTTTATATACACTATTGGTCAATGTATAACGATTTTGTTTTGTCCAAATATTTTACCCGTATGTCACGAGCAAATGGATCAAGCAGCAAATGTATCAACTCTTTTTAGAAGCGAAGTCGAACGAATGCAAAGGGTGATATTAGATTGAGAATTCACTCATTTTAGCAAGCTCAGAAGGGACACGACGCTTATTGAGAAAAAATAGATCATTTTGTTTATTTCCTCTGCCAGTTTTAATGTACAATTATTGTTGTCAAGTGTAATGTTATGTTATTTTTCTTTAAGGTGATCCAAATGAAAGTCCACAGTCCTAGTAATGTTTAATTGTACTTCAAATGTTCTACTGTTTGTTTAAGTACTTGTATGTCACCGTATATCGTGTTTAGAGAGTCCTTTAAACAACAACAACAACAACAATAATTTTTATGATATGTTTTATTTTACAATATGAAGCAAAAACACGATGATTATAAACATATTTGTTTCATTTCCTGGTTTGCAAACATCAATACATTCAAGGTTGACTGTTTACAAAAATCACCCGATCGTAAAGTTTGGAAATGGCGCCATCATATTTCACAATTTTCATCTTATTGTTTAATAGCCAACATACTGTACGTATATGTATAAGAAGTACAGATGCACCAAACATCAGCAGAATACTGACATTATACTCATTCTGAAGTGATCGAACGAAATTCAAAGAGAGAGGAAATTTTGGTTCATTTAGCAAATAGTATTCAAAAAATTAAAACAAAAACCCCTGAAATAGATAAAAACTAAGATAAACCTTTACTCTCATCTGAGACTAACATAAAATTTTAGTTAGTCTCAGCTCTCATTAACAAGTTACTTTTTTAAATCAACCACTCTGATTGGTCCATGTCCTACACGTGACTGAAAATAACAAGCGATATCCAACGGAAGTTACGTGACGTGACTTCACGTGACTAGAAATCTCAAGAAGTATGTCCAACAACTTGAAATGGGTAAAACAACGTTTTGACAGCGAGATGATATTTAAAAAAAATAGTTTCTTTAACAAACGTACATCCTTCAATTACTTAAATGGTGCAACTTGAAAATTAAAATTAAATATTTCTTACACTAAAACTTACTAAACAAAAATCAAATCAAATTCCATTTGAGAATGTTTACAAGAAACCAAATACAATTGATGAGTCAGTGCATATTACACTAACATTACAAGATGTCCTCTTTCCGAAGTTGTTATACATAATACAAGTGATAATTGATTTTTATGTCTATGAAAGTGGTTTCACTGCATTAATTCTAATCCAAATGGATCTGTCATTGCATATTGTGGCTCATTTATGACATAACTATGAATGAATTTCTCATTTAGCCAAAGTGACTCGTTTATCCCAGTCTTGGCTAGAGTTCTATGTACAAATGGGACAACTCTCTTTAAGTTTGAGCATGGCATACTAAGCTTTGGATTTTTGCTTAGTTTTTCTAGCATATGACTATAAAAATATGATTGGCAATTTTTCATTGTAGTGTATGTGAGTTTGAGATTTGCATACGTGTCTTTTGGAGCAAATAACATCAGAGTCCCAAGGGGACGCCGATGTAGAGGGAAAACCACATTTTTAGGGTAAATGTAGTTTTTAAACTCTTTCGAACTGTCCATGATATGAGTTGCGTTTTCAGCATAAAATGAAATATCTACATAAGGCCACTTCCAACTGAATCTACTGGTCTTGTTTGATTTATCAGAGAATAGTTTCATTCTCGGTCCAGCTGGCACAATTTTATAATGGTCTCCTAGGGTTGCGACTGCTCGTACTAGTTCCTCCTTTTTCGCAAGAGGAACGAAAATGTCGATATCGTCATCCCATGGTATTAGATCATGATGACGGTACGAGCCAAGTAAGGAGCCACCGTACAAAAGGTATAAAATATTCTGCTCTGTCATCACTTTATCAAGTTTATCCATCAAATCAAAGAGGATCATTTTCTGACGTGGAGTCATACTTTGTTTGAATTGCACTGGGATAGTATCCAGGTTGATTTCTTGTGGTTTATTGGTTGCAGCTGCTTTCTTTGTAGATGAGTGTTTATATGTTGATGCCATAGCATCAATTTGTGTACTACGTTCGGGACGTTCCAGATAACTTGAGATGTTAGCCAGCAGGTTCAATAACAGTTGACTGTTTGATATATGCTGAAGTTTATCAACCAGGTCATGTCCATCTAGGCTTTTCTGGCCATCTTGAAAGGCACCCTTGGATTTCATCCCCAAATGTAGAAAGACAATCAGCACTGCAATGCAGAATATCGCAATGAGCACAATCAGCCTTCGCCGCCTCAATCCTATCAACGACATTCTTAAGTCGTATTTGGATCATGTGGATCGTGTTCTGAAACAGCGAATATCAATTATACATTTACATTAATTGTATTTTGATTTTAATTTGTTCAGCTTAGCTTATAATGCCATAAAGGCGATTGGCAAACCACATGAAAGTGGTTTTATGATGAAATAGTCTATGAATAAAAATATAAGATAGAGAATTGTTAGAATAATGGGAGCAAAAATCTTATATTTCTTTTCTTCATCGTAGCAAAAACTTACATCTCGAAATATGATAGCACAAATTGTAACATTAAGAAAACAAAATAATCGGAATAATTACAATCAAATAATTGAATATTCTAACTTTAGTATCGTATTACAGCTGCATTACAGAGTTGATTGGATTGTTGATTAAATTGTGAATATGTCCGCCAAACGCAAAAGAAATAATTATTTATGGCTATAAATCTCCATGTACATGCCTTGTAGAATTACTTCATTAAATTGGTGATTATTTTATAAACTCATCGGAAACTATTTTTTGATTAGCACTCTCATTTCCACCGTGATTACTAAAAGGTCTGCATACACTAAAATACATGTTTAGCATTGCCATTTTGCCTGCAAATTATACCCCCCCCCCTCCCCGCCATTATACCATGGGGAATAAGTTACCCCTTCCTTTTAAGAGGGGTTGACTTACTCCCCGTGATACAGGGCTGTAGGTGTTTCGGTTTCTCCTTGTGGGTTACTAAAATACATGTTCATTCCGATTAAACCCAGTCAGCAATGAGCCAAGATAACCAACTGAACACGCATTCTCGTATTTTAAGGCTGTTTTCTTTTTTAAATCCAATCCAAAAGTCTGAAATATTTTCCTCAGAAAGTCCCAAGAATTGACATGTTATAGTTCTTCTTTTCCTCACATGCTTTTCGAATTCATTCCTCAGCCTGACATGAAACAGTTAAAAGTGCCATTCTGTGACCAATGTAACTGCTGACTTGTTAGGCGGCACGATAGTGTTACGTTAGTAACTACTGACTCATAATTACTGGAAAAGATAAATCGAAGTAAAGAGTTTGTGCAAAAAAAGAATTGTTGTGTACGAAAACGTACATCTATAGTTTATAGTCTAGAGATAGTTTGAATCCCTACTTTCGTGACAAATTACCATGGGCGTCCTGCCAGTGATTTTAAAATATACTTACAGTTCATAGGAACACATTTTGGGTAGTGTCCCGTTTCATCTTATCCGATCTGGTATTCTAGTTTAATACAAAATAATCCTGTGGTACCTCTTTGTCATTCAATAATTCTATTAATAGTAAAATACTCGGCTCAACATGTTTCTTAACTAAAGATCTGCTCATATGATGTTTAGTAGAAGTGCTAAGTACATGTACATGTATCCTACATCGATGCTTTTGATGCTGCTGCTTTTGGTTTCCAGGGCAACCTGACTTTATAGCGTGTGTGTGTTGTCTGCAACACTCAGTATCTTGATATCAACATCTCTTGGCGATCGCATGGCCCTCCAGAACCCCTTATGTTTTTAATGTATAGTGGCAATTGTAAACGTTTGATTGACTGGATTTTTCTTTTTCATAACGTAGAGTGAGGATGTAAATGCCCGGTGTAAATGTAAGTATCAAAGATTTCTAACTTCTGACTATGGTTGTAGCCTCGATTGTATTTGGTGTCAAGTTACCAACAAGTCAGTATCATTTACTCTAGAATTTGCTATCTTTTTGCTGCATGCAGCTAAGTACACTTGGTTTCAATTTCAAAACACATTCTTTCCTTCGTTACTGCTGTTGTTAATAATCTGAATTTTTGGCGTTACATTTCAGGAACTTTAGCATCATTTGTTTTATTCTGGCGCTTGCTGCTCAATAATACAAAAGAAAATTAGCATGATAATTATGCTAAAATGATCTTTATTTCATTTCCCTAGAACATTTATCACCATACGAAATGTTTCTCAAAACTACAGATCTGCCAGGATGAGGCAGACTTTTGTATTGTATTCCTCTATTATGATAACTTGTAAATTAATAAACTTTTATAGATTTTTTGTTAAATAATCAATTTTTTGATTCAATGGTGCACAATTTCCGGAAATAGGCACTCTATGGTTTCGATATTCCGCGACATGGGATGGGGATTGGCCCCGGGGATGGACTTGAAAGCCGATTCAAAATTATAACATACAAGTTATCTCAGAAATTGTACCGAGATAAACACGCAATAACTCTGTGAGTTTATGAAAATTGCCCTAAATGTTATACCAGGTGACTCTTTTCAGAAAAGCTTGTCTAAGTGTTCAAATCCAGATAGGGCCTACATGTACAACTCCACAAATATTTCAATGTACAACCGAGACAATGACATGGAATAATATGAGCGATGAAGGAATATTCCATCTGACAGAAGAATTAAATGAATCTTCTTCATGATCATCATGTGAAAAGTTCCATCTTGTAGATGAAATAATAAAAACTTATCACCGTCTCGATTGGGTACAATTTTGGGTTTCATGTCTCTTCTTGGAGTTACATGTATCATGATATTGAGTCACGGCCGTTATTTTTCTAAAATCATTACAATTATATGTATACTGCCTCTAGTGATCGGCTAAATCAATTTATCTAATTAAACTAGTACTGCAGGGCCGTCAGATGGGGGGGTGCGATGGGTGCGACCGCACCCCCCTTTGTTACCCCCCAAAATAAATTTGAAAAAAAAAATTTGAAAAGAATTTTTTTTTGAAAAATAATTTTTTTGTAATTTTTTTTTCATTGACTCATACACTTTGAAAGTACCCAGAAAGCACCAAATAGTATCTTAAAAGTGTAAAATGTTCTAGGGGTATTGGCCACCCCTCACACCCCCCACAAAACAATGGAAAAGTTCTAAATTTATTTTAGTGTTTGTCTCAGACACTTTTAAAGTGCCCAGACATCATCAAATAGCTCCTTGATATAGTTAGTGTTTCTGGGGGACTTGCTCCCCCTCTTGCATCTTGCATAATCCCCCACCCCTCTGGCGCCCCCCCCCTTGACCCCCCCCCCCCCAAAAAAATTGTGATTTTCTCAAATTCTTTAATTGACTCATACAATTTGAAAATGACCAGAAAGCACCAAATAGCGTCATAAAATTGTAAAATTTTCTAGGGGGAGTGGGCCAACCCTCACACCCCAAACAAAACAATGAAAAAGTTCTGAATTTGTTTTATGTATTGTCTCAGACACTTTTAAATTGCCCAGACATCATCAAATAGCTCCTTGATAAAGTTAATGATTCTGGAAGACTAACACTTACTCGCCCTCTGGCATCCCCACTCCACCTCCCCCTCTGGCAGCCCCCCCCCCCCCTTAACACCCCCCCCCCAAAAAAAATGAGATTTTTCAAATTTTTTTATTGACTCATACATTTTGAAAGTGCCCAGAAAGCACCAAATAGCATCTTATAATTGTAAAATTTTCTTGGGAAATATGCGCTTTTAGGCTCAGACACTTTTAAAGTGCCCAAACTTCATCGAATAGCACCTTGATGTTGTAAATTTTGATATGGGGGACAAACACTTGCTCCCCCTCTGGCACCCCAGCCCCACCTCCCCCTCTGGCACCCCTCCCCCCCCCCCTTTGACACCCACAAAATTTGAAAAAAGTTGTGATTGTTTTTCAATGTTTTTATTGACTAATACCTTTAAAAGTGCCCAGAAGCACCAAATATAATCTTTAAATTGTAAAATTTTTCAGGAGAGTTAGCCACCCCTCACATCCCCCACAAAACAAAATAAAATATTCTGTATTTCATGTATTGTCTCAGACATTTTTTAAGTGCCCAGACATCATCAAATAGCACCTTGATATGGTCAATGTTTCTGGGGGACAACCTCTTGCTCCCCTACTGGCACCCCACCCAACTTCACCCTCTCATCCTCTTTGACACCCCTAAAAGAATTTGAAAAAAAAAATCACATTTTTCTTACTCATAACGCACAGGCTTACCAGATGGTTGCAAATTCGCTCCACATACAACCAAATTTCAAAATTTTCCTGGGGGAGAACCCCCATACCCCCCTGAATGTTCGGTTTTTATTCACTCAACTCTTATTCTTGTGGTGGTGGCGAACTACTTAGAAACTTACACTTTGAAAGTGCCCAGAAAGCACCAAATAGCATCTCAAAACTGTAAAATTTTCTAGGGAGAGTGGACTGCTCCTCACCCCCCCACAAAACAATTGGAACGTTTGGAAGTTGCATTTGTTAATTCCAAACCAATATAGGGAGTAACTGACCCCCCCCCCCCCCCCCCCTCTGTCTTGCGCGATTTGATTTACGCGGCAAAAAAATTGACAATTTTATATTCTCTTTAGTAAGCAAAAACCGCACCCCCCTTAGAGAAAAGTGTCTTACGGGCCTGTACTGAGATATATAGGAGATTGACCCGGGAGATTGAATCACAAAGGATTGTGAGTATCCAGCAGAGAGCCCCCGCAGAGACCTGGAACCTTTCAATCCCGGGTTATCATCCCAGATCCATTTCGTTCAGTGAAATGCGCCATCTATAAGACATTTGACTGAAAATAAAATAGGAAATATTAGACAACTCTACCGGGCTGATTAACTCATTCATCTTGTAGGTTCAGCTTTATTTCTCGTGTTAAGCATATAATGATATTTAATTAAAGGTTTAAAAGTTAAAAAATTATGCAAATCTGTCTCAATTTGGTGGGAAATGGCTCCATGAAAAATTATTCTTAGGTTTTCGTGGGTGATAATTGACCCTTAAATTTTATAATTTAATCAAGTTTGGTATATTTACTATTAATGCTAAGTATCGTTATAAAATAAAACTTCTTGTTGAATATTTTGATTCTCTAATAAGCCAGTACTTATCTCATTGTCTATTTATCGCATCCTACGACCCCTTTAGATTGTGGTCGTATGCCCGATTCATTGGTAAGCCTGTCTTTCTACAATGTCGGAGAATGAACTACGCATTGCACTATTAAATGACCTACCTCGATACAGAGTATTTTAGAATTCTTTTTATGTTGTTAGATTGCCAATTGTATGGGTTTATCGGCAGAACGAAGAGATTTTAGTTTTTACATCGGAAATATGTCAGCAATTTTCAAAATATCGGAAGGGGAATTCCCCAGGGATTTCCCTTATGACTGGTGCATGCCGGGAACTGAATGGAGGAATTTGACGGTTGAAATAAGTTAAATATTACACGCAAATATTGCTATCAAAAATGAAAATATGTCACGCAAATACGCATTTTACCTGATTCTTCTTCTGATTTCTGTGGAAAAACTTCTAAAAAGTGATCACCGATACAGCCAAAAAACAAACGCCGCAAATAAAAAGAAGGCATTTTGTTCGGACTTTTCATGCCGATACCGTATTTGTCACACATTTTTCTCGAAATATTTCATACCTACCTAAATGGCAGGTGGTGACATTTTGTGTGTTTATACCATAAGCCCCGGAACATATATAAAAAAATTAGTTGAGTTACAATGTACCTAAGAAAAGATATAGTAATGACTAACTATCGACCATAGTTCAACATGCCAGATGCAGAAATTGAAAGAATTGAACTTAGGTCCCTTAGTTCCAAAGACTGATGCTCTACCACTTGAGCTATGGAGGCTTATAACAACTTGCTATCCAGAGTCGTTACACTATTCCCCCTTTGGAAGGACCACATCCTCATGGTCAGCCCTGATTCTGCTAACAGTGACCACACCCACACAGGCACAAAGGATACAACCAATGCTTTGATCCCAACTTGCTTTCCAGGATCGTTTTGCTTAAGGAACTCAGATTCAATCTTTTATACATGTTCCCGGGCCTATGGTTAACACCTTGTATGAAGGTGCCTCAGTTTGAATATTTTTTAACAACATATTTCCAAGCTGATTTTGCCTACTAATGAAAACTATCAGCTGTGTCTAACCTACCAAATTATTACTTATTTAGGAAGGTGTGTTATGCTATAACTCCACATAGGCTCACGTGGCAATCATGCTCTCTGTGTGAAACAATGACGTGAAACAAAAGGAAATATTTGGATTATTTCAAACAAGTGAAGAGAAAGACATGCCTAGAGATGGACTCTCAGTTAGGGGGAGTGAAGATACCAGGCCTTGTCCATTACGTTATATCACAGCAATATCTCGCTGTTGGGGAATCTTAACTGCAATAGGTAAATCAAATCTAGACACATAATAAAAAGTGTCACATATATATCCATAAATCTTAGTATTGTAACTACTTGTTCGCAGAGATGGATGTGATTACCTTGTAATTCAAGGCAGATAGACCCTTCAGTCACGTCCAGAATGTACATTCGTGCACTGAATATGTACATTAATTATGGAAGCTTTTTGCAAAAAGAGGGGGCTAATACAGGGTGGTCCACTATAGAACGGACACTTTTTGACATGCTCTCAATTTGTTATCAACCATTTATATCAGGGGGCTTAAAATGTTTGCTAGATGATACATGTAGAGCTCTCAGGAATTATGTCACTTACAATTTGCAAATATATCATACTGTACATGTATCTTCAGAAATTCATCAGATTATTTTAATTGTTATCCTTTGTGCTTTCAGGATTATGGGGCAGTACTATAGAAATCCTAAGGGATTTGAGCCAGTTTTTCTATGTCGGATGGTATTTGATGTAAGTATATTTGCAAAATGTTATTTTGTAGTATACAAAATATTTTCAAATTACACTAAATTATTTCACACTTTCAAGCTACCTATTTTATCACTTCTAAATGGTTAAAAGGCATAATCACAGGCTGGTATCGAAAAATTTGTTCGCTGTGACGGAGCGTACTATTTTGCATAGAAACACTAGGAAATCCACACAATTCATTTTTACTCATATGCTTCGCTTTATCAAAGAAACTACTACTCCATGCAATGGATATATCATTTGCGGGTAACTTTAACTTCTGTTTGAAGTCCAACAACGCTAAGAGTAAAAGCTATTGAAAACGGCGCCGGAGTATCATACTCCAAAATGTACCATTTCTTTTATTTGTTTTTAATGGTACAATATAGTGACATGATAATATTTACATATATTTTTAGCATAACTCTGAAGGTATTAATGAGATCTTGATGTATTGGGTATTTTCATTTTTTTCTCTAAAAAATAATGTTTAAATTTTTTGTTCGCTAATCCTAAAATATTTCTGATTCTCAATTTACTTAGTTAATTGACTTTGGACATAAACCTTTTGCAAACCATGTAGAAGGTAAATAATAACTTGTCATATTGCTATCTATAGGAGAAAACTTATTTTCAAGCTCTGATATTTTTACAAGAAAATGTTTTAGTCTAAGTCAATTAATTGTGTAAGTTAAATATTATTATGAAATTAATAAATATATTAAAGGGATATTGACAATTACAGCTATTTAATTGGGCCTTTGAATTAAAGTGGCAACAAGGCCTGTAGAGAGAAAATACGAACATTTTAACTTTTTTTGACCTATCAAGGCAACATTTGGCTTATTTTCTTAAAATGTATGGATAAACTATCAATTTCAGCATTAAGAAGTGTAAATTCAGTTCAAAGCTTCAAAAAGGGGAAATACACCATGTTTCGAGAGGAATATCAACTGATATAATGTTTATCTAGGGGGTTTCTTTGTAGAAAAATAGATGTAAGTGTTGATGAAATATTCAAACTTAAATATATTTTGACACTGGTCCATGATCGTTGAATGGCCCCTCTGCACTAATTGTTGCAACTTTAAGGATGAACAACAACGCATTATAATTTATTTTTCACCATTTTATTATTTTGCAGAGCCATCTCTATCTTGGTGACATTTTTTGAGTTGATGTGGATATTAAACAAGTCCGCTTGCTGCGTGTGAGTAGTACTCATAGTACATTAAAGTAGCAGCTAAATTAGATTCTCAATGTCAAGGTATCTCTGATCAATATATAGGTTCATTATCCCATTGAACGAAGTTCAGAGGGATATAGGGAACGCCTCCGTCCGTCCGTCCGTACGTCCGTCCATCCGTACGTCCGTCCGTCCGTCCGGGCAATAACTCAAATACCGTTGGCCCGATTTTATTCATATTTTGTATACATATACCCTATGGGGGTAGAAGTTCTGCTCGAAAGCCGATTTTCAAAATGGCCGCTCATTTAAAAATGGCGGCCATTTTAGTGCCGATTTTACAGTAATTTAGGTGCAATATGTAAAACTGTAATAGCAATATGTTTTAAATGTAAAAAAAATTATATAGGACATTAATAAAGCTAGAAATGTAGATATTAAAAAAGCACATGGCAGCCATCTTGAAAAATGGCGCCCTTTTCTCGTTATTTTACGATTTTTGCTGTAACTCGAAAAGTAGTGGAGCGATTTTGTTCATATTTGGTATGTGAATACTATAAGCATGGCACACTGTCTAATGACACTTTTGGTAGAAGGTTGCCATTTTGAAAAATGGCGGACATTTTGAAAAATGGCCGCCATTTTAAGTTATTTTACTAAAACTCGAAAAGTAGTGGAGCGATTTTGTTCATATTTGGTATGTGAATACGTATAAGCATGGCACACTGTTTAGTGACACTCTTGGTAGAGGGCGGTCATTTTTCAAAATGGCCGCCATTTTAACGTATTTTACTTTAACTCGAAAAGTAGTGGAGCGATTTTGTTCATATTCTGTATGTGAATACTGTAAGCATGGCACACTGTCTAATGACAGTTTTGGTAGAAGGCGGCCATTTTGAAAAATGATGGACATTTTGAAAAATGGCTGCCATTTTAACTTATTTTACTATAACTCGAAAAGTAGTGGAGCGATTTTGTTCATATTTGGTACGTGAATACGTATAAGCATGGCACACTGTCTAATGACACTTTTGGTAAAAGGCGGCCATTTTTCAAAATGGCCACCATTTTAACGTATTTTACTATAACTCGAAAAGTAGCGGAGCGATTTTGTTCATATTTGGTATGTGAATACTATAAGCATGGCACACTGTCTAATGAGACTTTTAGTAGAAAGCGGCCATTTTTCAAAATGGCGACCATTTTAACGTATTTTACTATAACTCGAAAAGTAGCAGAGCGATTTTGTTCATATTTGGTATGTGAATATTATAAGCATGGCACACTGTCTAATGACACTTTTGGTAGAAGGTGCCCCTTTTGAAAAATGTTCGATGGGATTCGCTACGCTTTGGCGTTGCCGTTGTTCTGGTTTTAATTTAGGTTTGAGCAAGACTAAAGTGCATTTTTGGGTCTGTTGTTTTTACAATTAATCAACCAAGACAAGACTTACAGAGAAAATATACCTAAATACTTGTCTCTCATTTTTGTTTTCCATGTTTCATTTATTTTTTATGACATTTCATTGAATTGATGCTCAAATGTTTGTAAGGGGTAATGTTAACTCTCCATTTCAGGGAGGAAGGGACATGTTGTCTTATCTGGAAAGGACTTTTGTGGATAGATGAATGGAAGAAAACATTGCTCTACCTCGCATTCTCAATACCTTGCTTCCTAAGGGGACCAGCTGTCCTCATGGGTATTGTATCTGGTATGTATTTTCTAGTTGAGGTCTGATAAAATATGCCATATCAAAATGGGAAAAATTGATCTGAAATTTAGAAGCTTGAAATTTTCTTACTTGCCAAGTCCAATGAATAACGTCTCCTGGTTTTGTAGCTCACACGGTGAGCTATTGCAATGACTCACTTGTCCGTCTGTCTGTCTGTCTGGCAGTCCGACAGTCCATCTGTCTGTCAACAATTGGCCCATTTTAAAACCTCTGTTCTGTCTGTCCATCCATCCCTCCGTCTGTCTGTGTACAATTGGCCCGTTTTAAAACCTCTGTCGATAGGGTTCCCATTTTGAGTTATTTTTGTTCAAATTCAATTTAGAAAACCTGCCTATGACTCCTGGTTCAAAAGCTCGCCTATTTCCAAAATGACCGCTATTTTTGTCTAGCGAAATTCACTTTTGGATCATTTGCTTTAAATCCTGTGTCGATAGGATTCCAGTTTTAAGTTATTTTTGTTCAACCTCAATACAGAAAACTCTCCTATGACTCCCAGTTCAAACGCTCTCCTATTTTCAAAATGGTCGTCATTTTTGTCTCGCGAAATTCACTTTTGGCCCATTTCCTAGCTTTACAAATAATTTCAGGTGTCCTGCTTTGTAAAAAGCCATGTCACTGTAAAGAGTAGTTGTATGAAATAATTTTGTTACAAAAAGTCGGCCAAAAAATATACCTTTTTTATTTTCTTCCATTTTAGCCATCATTCACTTTGAGCAACACCATGTGAGCCCAGTACCCACGGTACTATTTATTATCTCTCTTGGATTCCTCCATTTTAAAAAGTCCATTTCTTCAATTTAACGTTGTGAAAAAATGATGTCCTCTTGAAAAGACTATTTTTCACTTGTAAAAGCTCATTTTGTCAAACCTTCATTTTTAGAATATACTTTGTTCTCATGGCCTTTCTTGTGAACCTCTGTCTTTTTTCCGAAATCTTTCCTCCCATTGTCTCCCACATTTCAAATCTTTATCTTGTTAGGAAGCCCAGCTATTCTCCCTTCTTAATTTTTAAAAGTGAATCATCATTCACGTTTTAAAGACAATTGAGTGAACTCAGTATAAAATAGAGAAATCTTAAGAAGAAAAAAACTATTTTTATTGTATCATTGCAATCATTTTAAACTCAGCCCCTTGAAGTATTGAAATGATTGTTGTTGGTGTTGGAGTATTGAAAAATCATGTTTTCTTCATATTTTCAGTCATACTGCATATCAGGTATAAAGAGAAATTTTTTTTGGTGTGTTTTATAAATATGAACATGTCTTATTTTCAGGTCTGTTATTGAACATACTAGGAATATTTTACCTGGTGAAATCATTTCGCGACAGTAAATGTTGCCAGCGTGATGTTGAAATTGATATAGATGGCACTCCAACCAGCCAGACAACCAGCCTCATGCAGAGTGAGGTTAATACACAAACTGATCTGGAACCTTTAGAATCTCAGCCTAATTACCCTAATGAAAATAGTCCTACACAAGGACAGGATGAAAATGTTGCATCCAGCTTTACACAAACAACAAATGATTGATACATTGTTTGGTCTCAAGAATATTGTTAACATATAAAGAGTTTTACTGAGTTATTACACATTTAGAAAGTATTTTAGGGATCTTGCTTCAAAAGCAAACTGAAAGCATGTGTTTTCTGTGTCTGCTCATTTCTTAAGATACATGTGATTTTTTCCAAACCTTAAATGTGTTATTGCGTGATTAGTCAATATTTTTTTCCTTCCTTAAGTTTCTTTTTCATTCTTTCAAGACATATTTAGAGATTTTCACCAAGGAAAGGTTTCGCTCGTTGATACAATGCAATCAACCAGATGCAGAGAAAGGAAGTCACTGAAAATGTTCATAAATTTCTTAAGTGCGTCAGTACGTTTTTTGATATAATTTGAGCAGTCATCTTAAATAACTATGATATTCATTATTTCTTCCTCAAGTCCTCGATGTATAAATATTTGATTATGGTACAATACTAGAATTCAACGCTTCACTTTAATTCAGTAAGACCCGGGTTAAAAAGTGTACATAATAAGTATGTACTTTTACTAATGTACTAATTATGTATTTGATAATAGAAGGACTATTATGATTAGAATTAGAAGTAAAGGAATGGAACTGCACAATTTCGCTAACATGTTTTTATTTATTTATTATTTTGTAGTACATGTATACAGAATCTCCTATACTACTAACATTTTTACACATGTATTCACTGTTAAAGGTTCAGTTATTTTATTGCAACATATTTTGTACATATTTATTTTTTGTTATAGTTATATTCTAGTATTTAATACAACACTCATTTAATATACATGCGCAAATGTATTGGTAAGCACTTCACAAATGTGAAGCAGAGTTGACTTTATAACTTACTTAGAAATGTAGAACATCTCTGATTGAATTAAACAGTGTTTCTATAAAAAAAAGTCATTTAGTCTCACTGGCAGTCTTGGATGGGGATGATGAAGAGCCTTAAAGTTAAGATTGGCCTCTTTGATTTCTCATTTTCAAAAATAAGCCTCATTGGAGAAAATGAGCTTTTTGGACTAGCCAAAATTTTTCCAGGGCAGGATTTTGTTGTTGTTGGTTGTTCTCAATTTCCAGGCCTGCCTAATGAGCCTTGTGATATTTATAGCTATTTCGCTACGAGTAGTTGTTTTTAGTAAAATATTTGACTGTTATGATATTTTCCATAGGGTAATGTGCAATACATGTGTTAACAAAATTGTCTTACTTGTAGTTTTAGTTTAACATAATATTACCTTAATATAATGCAATTGTATAACATATATATCAATGTGGGTACGGTTTTATTCATATATAGGCTATTATTATTACATTACATTATTATACTTTAACTTTTGCATATCTCACCCACCTTTGTGGAGGAATAAGGGAGATACTCATGAAATAGTTGGGCTCAGCCCAAGGAGGAGTGGCTCTCGGCATTCGGAGAGTTTTGACTGTTAAGAACCAATTTGGTAATAATTTTAATAATACAATTTTATAGATGAATGTGATATTAATATTGCTACCAAATTACAGTAAAATGCTCCAGGTTCTGCCAAAAAGTGTTTTACTTGTGAAGTGGTCTACTTTCAGAGGTTATGATATCATGGAGATTTTAAGAAATAAAAAGACAAATATATACTTTGTCAGGAGATGAACAAAACAGTAATATTTTTACCAAATTGGTCCATATCAGTGAAAAGTTTATTATGCAAGAATGCTGGAACCCAATCCTCCTTTGACGTGACCTTTGCGAATATAATACTGATGTTCTAGAGTATGGCCTCATTCACTGAATATCAAACCAAGTGTATTTCTCCAAGAAATGCTATATATGGAACCACCAATACTAATTGAACAGGTAATCCATTATTAAAAAATTAATGTTTTACATTTATATTTATTACATTTATTATATAATTATTATATTAATATATTTGTTACACATAAAACATGCTGTTTAAAACCATTTTCTGAATTTTAACCAACTTTTAAAATGCATATACATGTACATGTAGCAACCATTCAGTTGGTGTCAACTTATATATTCCATGATATTTCTTGTAACAGTCGTGAGAATCTGCTCCATTTGAACCATTTTTGGGCTATGCATAATATGGCCTGTCCCATGTGTTGTCCAACAGCCATGCTGGGTCAACTATGTGAATATTTGAAACATTTGAAAATCACTGATTGTGGGTCAAATACAATGTATAATGTAGTTTGCTTTCAGACATGTTGCATTGGAAATAAAACAAATGTACCTTCCTGGTACATTGCTTTTCTGATGGAAAAATGGTTTCAATATATTTTGTATTTGACCCAGTGATAATGACATGAATGATGTATAGTATGTGCAGATAAATGTAATGCAAAGCATCATATGTATTTGTTATTCACACGTAGCTGGGTATGCATTGTTCCTTTTGACCAATCAGAATGCAACGTAACAATGCATGGTCTAATGATTGGCACAATGCATAGCCAGCAAGCAGTCAAACAAATTGTGCAAAATGTAGAATATTATATCATGACATTTGTTACGTATTAGTATAAATTGGAGATGTTTTGCAAGGATGCAGTAATGTGATGTATGAAAAATCAATTATCCGCTTGTTCAAATGTTTCTTATGCTTGAATGGATTGAGCCATTCTGATACTCATAACATATTTCTGTTTCAAGGCTGAGAAGAAATGAGGTGTCAAGCGCTGGTTATTATCATGATGGAATTGAGCATGTTGCACCTTTTATTAAAAAGTGACACCGTGCATTCAATGCATTGTATTCTAACTGCCCAAACAACATACACCACCATGCACGTCATGCAAGGTCTGACTTATTAATGATGGCTTAAATTGTTTACCCATGCATTGATTGTATTAATTATCCAATATCTACTAATGTGGCATTTATTGTTTGTCCGGCTGATTATAATAACACACACATTTTCCAATAGTTGTAAACTTGTAATAAATGTTAAAATATTGTAAAATGAAAATTGGACTTTGTTGTAATTCATACCAGGCATTGTTTAAAGGCATAATTAGATCCATAGAGAGTGACAAAGTTGCAAGCAACATGAACATTGACCTACCAATGTATTCCCTACAATCGCAAATATAATATCTCCCAAAAGATCTGTGATATGTTATCAATTGGTGAAGTTATTTACGATTCAGTGAAAAAAAATGGGGGGGGGGATTATTTGAATTCTCCCAAATAATATGAATAGACAAATGATTGCATTCTTGTAAAAAACTTTAGTTTTCCTCAAATAAAGTATTTACTTGGCGTATTTTTAGAAAATAGACATGACAAGGAATGATATGACCCCAAAATATTCTAGAATTGAAAAAAAGTTAGTAGTTGTCATAGGTATCTTGCTAGATCTACTGCTTTTAACTTAGATTAAAAAGTCAAAATGAGTGAAAAGTGTAAGGACAGATACCCTATTGTAGACCAAACCAACTTGAACTTAAGGCTAAGTTGGTAAATCAATCTTACATTGGATAATTTTCATAAATACTGCCAAATAATATACTAATTTTAATTGTAAAAATATCATTTTTCTGTGTTACTCTGACACACAGTTTCCTTTTCATCTATGTTGCTTGTAAAAATGCATTTTCCAGTTCTCTTGTGTTGTAGAAGACTTGTCCTCCATTTAAACTCCTTTCCACAATCACATCTGTGTGTTTTAGTACTATCATGCATCATTAATATATGGATTTTCTGGCCTTCTTTGGAGTAAAGCCTTTTATCACATATTGTACATGGAAACCCCTCAGTATTACCGCAATTTATTTTATGCTTTGTTAGTTGACGAGCACCAGCATATGATTTTGTACAGCCAGGTAAATCACATTTATATGGCCTGAGCCCATTATGTACATTCATGTGAGCATCCAGTTCACTTGGTCTTTGAAATTTCTTCCCACATCCCGGGATTTCACATGTTGGTCTTTCTGGTAGTTTGTTGAGTCCAGTATCATGCTTCATCTCCATATGTAATGTATAACCTGTTTTAGATTCAAAGTTCAAGGCACATATATGACATATGAACATTTGAGGTGGTGTACTAGGTTTGTTTGGATTAATAACAGGGAATTGCTGTGGTGGATTCATTGTAAGTGCCTGTGTACATGCAGATGTCATATGTTTCTCCATGCTTGGGAGGCATCTGAACATTTTTCCACAATATGGGCAGCAATGTTCAGGATCAGTGTGTGTTCGAATATGTTTCCTGAGTGATCCCTTTGTTGAAAGTTTCTGGCCACAAATGGGACATAGTATAGAATCCATACAATATTCTTTATGCCTTTTAAGGTCTCTTGCTCCAGAATAAGCTTTAGTACAGCCTTGTATATCACATACATATGGCTTAATGTTCATATGTTTGTTCAAATGCGAGTCAAGGTCTCCTGATTCATTAAACTTTTTTCCACAGACATTACACATTAAACCATCACCAATATTATGTTTTGACATCAAATGTTTGTTAAGACCTGACTTTGAGAGAAACAACTTTGAACATATCTGACAACCAAAATCTCTTAACACCCCACATTTTTCCATGTGTTTTCGTGCAGCGAATAAATACTTAAATTGTTTATTACAAGTCTTGCAACTGTAGGATTCTCTGGAATTTTCACTATTTGATGGTTCGCCAGACTTTTTAGATGTTTTACGTTTACCAGCTGAATTTGGTTCGCCCATGGACACAATGTTGGATAATCCCCTAGGTGACTCATCTTGGGATTTAAGTTTTATGTTATCCTCAAGGCCACCAAGTAGTATATCAATGATGGCAGTATTTTGTTGAGCAGTTTCGGTGTCATCATCAAATAGGACTTCCTTATATTCCTTTTGGTTAGTCTGCTGAACATCACTATCAAGCTTGTCTTCGCCATCAGGTTCAAAGGGTATAGTGCCATCGGAGTCACTGTCAGAATGAGGCTCTTCCTTCTTAATCTTTGTATCAGATATCCTGAAACATACAACATATGAATCATATAATGTTCAAAAATGTTTTATTTATTTAATTTTTTATTTTAACTCCTGATATTTTAAGGACATAAAGGGGCATTCCAAATAGCCTTGGAAGAAAGATACCTGTACCTTGAAAGATAGCTTTATCTTTATTTATGTACAATATATACATATTATGTATGTATATGTATTTTACATATAGTATATATTTTTACATATACATTTACAATTGAGTTAGAGGTATATTATGATCAACTCCTGATACTGTAAAGACATTAAAGGGACATTCCATACTAGGATAACAACAGTCTTGGAAGGAAGATACCATGAGACTTTATTAAATTTTGATCTTCATTTTATGATTTATTTCAACTATACTAGTACAATGTATATGACCTATTTAAAACATTATTCTGTCTACTGTCAGTAACAGTTATAATCTCATGGGTGAATAGATTATCACAATTAAAATCGGACCATGTATGGTGGGTGGGTAGGTGGGAATCCACCAAGGTCGGGGAGGTTAATTACACAACCCCAAGATGGAGGTTTTCAAAAGTGCTAAGCCACGTTGATTTAAATGGTAATGAACCCTCTCTGTAAGGAACACCTGTCTATATGGAACAATACTGGTGGTGACAATATGGGAATATGAATATCAAAATTGTCCCAAGAATTCAATTTGGCCACTCTGAAGCTCATCAGCAGTGCAACTTCTACCATAACACCTTAATGCTGTCACATCCATCAGATTTGTTCCATGCTACTGTAGCAACAAAATATATATGAATGCATCTTTCAATCTTGATTTATTTAATAGCATTTAGAGACATATCTCTGTATTATCACATCCATTTATAGCATACATGTTGAAGTACCAAGCTGGAATGACACTGTCATTGTTCAAAATATTTTTATGAAATATGATGGCACATTGTGTAAAATATTGTATCATGTTCACTGGGAGGCATAAGAATTAATTCATGATAAGTTATCTATTTTCATATCAAAATCTTCATTATTACTTATTTTCTGTCATAAAAACTGACTTTCAACTGACTTTTTTACTATTTAAGTTAATTCATTTCGTATTCATGAGCTCTCACAGTATTTCTCACAGCTATATTTGACATTTCTTTAGGTTGATCCCTCTTATTATTTCAATGGTCCATTTAAATTTTTCTGACTGATATATTTTTGTATGATGTTCCATCAAATATATTCATTTTCCAAGACATTGTAGTTATACGTATATATGACATAATTTAACATGTTGATTCAACTTAAACTTCCGCTTGAATTCCTTGCCACATTTCTCACATTGATGCGTAGTATCGCTATGACTCAACATGTGTTGCTGTAAATACCGCTCAGTTGCAAATCCTTTGCTACAAATTTTACAGCAGAATTGTCTCTCAAAGGCCCCGTGACTTGTTGTTATATGTCGTTCTAAAATGGCTTTCGTTTTGAAATAATTTCCACAGTTTTCACACAAAAATGATGCAGGTAGGTGACATTTAAAATGCCGATTGAGTTTAGCTTTGAAAACAAACTCTTTCCCACATCCAGGATGAGGGCATATATACAGATCTCGTTGATGCAGTATAGAATGATTTTGTAAAGCACTTAGAGTACCACAATCCTTTGAGCAGAAACCACAGATGAAATGTCCATTTGGTCTCTCAACTTTCCCCGTTTTCAAGAACATATGAAAGTACCGACTCAGGGTTGTCTTACTAAGTCCATGGATTTCAGCTGCCTTTTTCATTGAGTATTTTTTACTGGTGATTTCCTTTACTGCAACCTCGACAACCTCTATGTTAACTTTTCTCTGGTGTGGAACTTTATACCTAATAAACAAAAAAATCATGTATAGCACATTATAGTACTATCAATAATATAAAGGAAGAATCGGATACAGCAACCAAGCTTTCCAAAATATTCTTAAAATTTGAGAATATTATTCTGAACTAATTTTTCTAAGCGCATACTAGTACTTTGCCTCAGAATAACTAAAGATTTTTAACTGACACAATTAATTTCTCTTTAAATAGGGATATAATATTCACTTTATTTTTTGAGATAGCTTACACATTTTTGAATTTAAAAATATAACAATTAACTGATAAGTTATTATGGACCAAGTAGGAGATGTAAATTGGTACTGGCAGGACAGTTGTACTGTTGCTTGTAATCTTGTCACCCTTATGTCTCTGATTCTGCCTTTAATACAGTAACATTCAAGCCAAAAATATTTTCCTGAATTCAAAGTTCCTTCAAAAATATAGATTCAAATGATGAAAACAGATGAGATACCATGAAAAACATACAACACTTATAAATCACCCTTGTGATGATACCAAAGTTGATTATATAGGATATTAAATACAGGGTGAGCCAAAAAGATAACCCATACATATGTTAATAACTCAGTCATCTAGGATGGGGTTGAAGTCATATTTAATACAATTGAACCTCGTCCAATGTTCTCTAATTCTACTTAGTTTCATCGATCTAGTCCTAATGGTATCAATTTTATGACTATTTTACAAATCATGCTCCAAATACTGAAACATGCCAAATTCACCTGATATGAACCCCCAAACTTTTTATCTTTGGGCTATTTCAAAGATAAGGTTAACAGACTCTAGAAGCATCAGAGAGTTGAAACAGGAGATAGGAATAAAGGATGAGAGCAATAATACATTCTGAGATCATGTAACAAGAACTTCACCTGGTGTTTTCAAATTTGCCATCATAGCCAATTCTGGGACTTTTGAGCATGATTTGTAAAATGGCCATAAAGTTGTGGAAGAATAAACGATTCGATACAACATAGTTTAATTGTGCCAAATATGACCTCAAACCTATGCGTGATTAATGACTTAGTTTGTTTTGCTACCTTTTTTGGCTCACCCTGTAATAATAGATCATTCAGAAATAGATTTTTAGAATATATGTTTGTCAGTATTATGTAACTGAAACAGAAACAAAATAGGGTTGGAGGTGACTTGTCTTAAAATTGGCATACTTTCTAATGAAAATATAGATATTAAAATTTTCAAACCAGATTTCAAACAACATGTTTGTTACCATGGCAATGAATAAGAGGTCATACGGGCATGTAGCATTGTTGTGGTACAGCATTAATCCAGAGTAGTAGAGTAATGAGCTTATTTGTAATAACTGATAAAGTTAAATAAAGGTTATGGTCAAATATTTTTATTCTGTTGTATGTGTACATCATATAGTTGCAAACGATTGTAATACAGAATTTGGGTCATCATAGTTATTGAAAATCACAAGGATCAATTAGAGTCGAGTTAATGACTTTTTCAGACCTTGACAAAGACACAAATTAACAGACTTAAAACAATCTCTAATACTGTGTATTGAACCAAATAGTGACACTTTGTCATATATTTGCTTCCTGGTGTTTTGTAAAGTTATTTTATCAAAAAATATGATCAGCACCACTTTAATATTCATAAACCAATTTACAGAATCTTCAGTCCAGCAGCCTTCAGACATGCCAGATGTCTTATCATTATAATATTTTATAAAATGTCACTTTAAATCCAAAAACTCATCACCTTTGATGTAACCTTGAGCTGTAAATGAAAAATTGAACTTCTGGGACTTTTTTGAAAAATGTTGTAAAATACGAGATGATTTATTCACTGATTGATTTTTTTAAAGAGTAAGGTTTGTATAATTAAATGTGAATAAAATATTTATTCCATACAACATACAGGCACATGTCAATTTTGAATATGTTTCATGCACACTGGCACAGGGGGTTTCAAAAAATGAAACCCAACTAACAATGCATCTTTTTATAACAAATAGAGTATGGCAAATCTTGTTCAATACAAGAACATTGAACCAACTTTAATTTTGCATAAAAAAAATATTTTTCAATCTCCATTGGTAGAAGTTATGCATTGTAAGGTATTTGGGTTGCAATTTTTCTGAAACACCCTGTGTATTATTCATACTATAATTCGATTCTAATATAAAAATGCACTTTACAGCATCCATACGAAACTTTGTCCCAAAAATTGTTTAACTATTCTGTCATGTCATATTGTACTTCTTTCGTTAGTTTTAGGCCCACATTTGAATTTCACGTGCTGTTTAAAAACATTTTTCCATCTGAACAGCTTCCCACATTTCATGCATTTAACACATTTATGTTTGGGAGGTAAATGTGCAAAGGAATGTCTTTTCCAATAATCCTCCCTTGAAAATACCTTTTCACATGTAACAACTCTTTATGTCCATTCTTTTCTTCTGAATGTTCTACACATGCAGGTTTTGGGCAAGGATACATTTTATCCTGCTTTTGGTGACATTGTTTTTGTCTCAAAATGTTTCATTTGCGTTTGATCACCAAACCAAATTTTTGACATGTATAACATTTCCGACCCATGCACTGTTCCCTTTCATATAATCATATAGAGTGGAATATGCCATACCATACTGTTTTGGGGTAGATCTCATAGATTTGCTTTTATCTGATCTTATTTCCATTTTCCACCATTGCTTTACGAATAGCTTCATGTTTGGCATCCATTTTTTGGATTATCTTGACCTTGAAATTCTCTAACTCATATTTGTCCAACAATGGAGCAGTAGATTTTTGAAGAATCTTTCTACCTTGATTCACCTTTGTCCATTTGGTCCTTCGATTTTGGGCCATTTCTTTCAGTTCATGATATTGCATATGTAATTGAAGTCTGTATTTGCCTTTGATAAGCTTCCCACTAATCACACTTTAAACATTTTGGTTCCAATGTACATTTTCCACTCATATAATCATTTAAAGTAGTCTTAGCTATTCCATAATGTTTTGCAACGGGGTTTAACTCAGATATGCAAGTTCAATATTTTCATGTATAACCTTCCATGGTTGAGGTATTCTTTTCTTTTTTGGAATTGGATGATTTTATATTATTTGGTGATCCACTTAATGACTTGGATTCAGTCAGAGTTGGTGAAGTTATCTGAGTTTTTTATTTCTTGATACTGAGCGTCATCTTTAGTTAGTTGCCTAGATCCATGCAGAGCTGTTGTCATTTGATCTTGCTCCTCATTTTCCTCTGGAGGCTCCAGTTCCTTTTCTGATTAAAATTTTCTCTGCATTATGGGATTCATCACTGACAGCGTCAAGGTTATCAGGTGTTTCATGCAGAATTGTTGACATTTCATCTTGATCCTCATGATCACCTTGAGAGACAATTTCTTTCTCAGCGTTCTGAAACTTGTCAGTAGCACTGTCAATGTCACCAGGTGTTTCAGATTGTGACATTTATTCATTGGGAATTCTCATATTTTCTATTTGATCTTCTAGTTGAGGCCCCAACTCTTCTGTGCTCTTTGTCTCTGGATACTGAGATTCATCCATAGCATTGTCAAAGTTATCTGGTGTTTCAGTCTCACTGTAAATTCTCGATTGTTCAACTTTATCACCGAGTTGAGGCTGCAACTTTTTTTGCCTTTTCATCTTATTCTCAGGAATCACTTCATGACATCGCATATGACTTCCAAGTCCTTGTTTACTCTTGAAAATCTTACCACATTTGTCACATATAAAAGACTTCTCATCCAATGATTTTAACCCATACAGGTATTCTTGTAAAGATATAAAATCTACACCGTAAGCTCTTGCCACAGCTGCAAATGATGCAACAGATTTATTTTTATTTGATTTACAATCCAATATAGCTTTCCGCATACTTTCCATTTCAGCCTCCTTTTGGTGGAGTTTTTCATGTGCTAAGATTATCTTTTCACCAGGTGTTTCAGATTGTGACATTGATTCATTGGGAATTCCCACATTTTCTATTTGATCTTCTGGTTGAGGATCCAACTCCTCTGTGCTCTTTGTCTCCAGATACTGAGATTCATCAATAGCAGTGTCAAGGTTATCAGGTGTTTCATGCAGAATTGTTGACATTTCATCTTGATCCTCATCATCTTCTGGAGAGCCAATTTCTTTCTCAGCATTCTGAAACTTGTCAGTAGCACTGTCAATGTTACCAGGTGTTTCAGATTGTGACATTGATTCATTGGGAATTCCCACATTTTCTATTTGATCTTCTAGTTGAGGCTCCAACTCCTCTGTGCTCTTTGTCTCTGGATACTGAGATTCATCCATAGCATTGTCAAAATTATCTGGCGTTTCAGTTTCACTGTAAATTCTCGATTGTTCAACTTGATTCCCTAGATGAGGCTGCAACTCTTTTTGCCTTTTCATCTTATATTCAGGAATCACTTCATGACATCGCATATGATTTTCAAGCCTTCTTTTTTGCTTGTAAACCTTACCACATTTGGCACATGTATAAGACTTCTGATCAAATGATTTTAACCCATACAGGTATTCTTGTAAAGATATAAAATCTACACCATAAGCTCTTGCCACAGCTGCAAAAGATGCAACAGATTTATCTTTCTTTGATTTACAATCCAATATAGCTTTCCGCATACTTTCCATTTCATCCTGCTTTTTGTGGAGTTTTTCATGTGCTAAGATTATCTTTTCCTGTGTTTTCATTGTGACACCACATTTCTTACATGAATAAAATTTCTCAACATCATTAGACTTTGATTCATGGATAATTGTTGGACTTTCATTATTCTGTGCTTCTGGTTCACTTCCAGGAGTTTCCAATTTTCTATCTGAGTTTTTTATTTCTTGACACTGAGCCTCGTCTGTAGTTAGTTGCCTAAATCTATGTAGACCTTTTGACATTGCATCTTGGTCCTCATCTTCCTCTGGAGACTCCAGTTCCTTTTCTGAGTACATTCTCTCTGCATTATGGGATTCATCAGTGGCAGTGTCAAGGTTATCAGGTGTTTCATGCAGAATTGCAGACACTTCATCTTGATCCTCATCATCTTCTGGAAAGCCAATTTCTTTCTCTGCATTTTGAGACTTGTAAGAAGCACT